ATTACACCCGATACTGATAATTCTTCATATAATATTACACCCGATACTGATAATTCTTCATATAATATTACACCCGATACTGATAATTCTTCATATAATATTACACCCGATACTGATAATTCTTCATATAATATTACACCCGATACTGATAATTCTTCATATAATATTACACCCGATACTGATAATTCTTCATATAATATTACACCCGATACTGATAATTCTTCATATAATATTACACCCGATACTGATAATTCTTCATATAATATTACACCCGAAATTGAATCTCTTATACCATCTGCAACGTCGATACCATCCGTATCATTAATACCATCTGTAACATCGATATTATCGGCACCAACACATACTCCAACACAAAATCAAAAATTATTCAACCTTATTTTCCGAAATGAAACGAGGTCACCAGATGGATACATAAGATCGGTTCTTACAGTAAACAACGACTTTCCAGGTCCAACTATTATAGTAAATAAAGGTGATAGAGTAAAAATAAATGTTACAAATTTGTTAGGTGTCCCAACGAGTTTACACGTGCATGGAATCGAAAATATTAATCCGTTCATGGACGGAGTTCCCTTTGTTAGTCAATGTCCAATTGAGAATGGTTCCAGTTTTATTTATTCATTTGACGCACTTAAGAGTGGAACTTACTGGTAGTAAGTATTTGAATGATTTGTTTCTTAATGGATTTTGTTTTTCAATTAACGCATTTATCTAATTTTTTAGTTATTCATCTTTCGAAACGCAACGAATTGATGGTTTATACGGTGCATTCATTGTAAAAGATCAGAATGACCAAATATTATTCAATTATCAAAAAGAAAATTTTGTTCTTTTGTCTGACTGGTATCATAAAGAAGGTTCAAAACTATTGGATTCTTATCAATTTGGTAGCAACAATTCTTCCATGATCGAGGTAATTAGAATTGGTAACAATAAAGTCTTGTAATTATTAAACCGATAAACTTTTAAAATATTATAGCCAGTTCCGAAAAATACAATAATAAACGGAAAAGGTGTATATAGTTGTAAAAACTATAAATCCAATGATCCGATGAGAAAAAATTGTTATTTGTATCTTGGATCCATCGAATTCTTTTATTTTGAACCTAACAAAAAGTATCGACTTCGAATCATAAATACCAGGTAAACCATTAAAATCATTTCAAAATCAATTTGCATTGAATATCTTGCATTTACTTTCTTTTTCCTAAATGTATTAAAATATAGTGCGATGACTTCATTTTTCTTCTCAATTGACGGTCATACTCTTCAAATAGTAGAAGTCGAAGGAACGTTAACAAAACTCTCAAAACCTTATCATCGTATTCCAATTCACGTGGCTCAAAGGTATTCAATAATTCCAACTCGATTGCCTAAATTTATAAGCACATCAAGTTTCCTGATTAGAGGTGAAATCAACAAAAATTCATTTCAATCATCCGCTTTGGAAACTGGAAAACTTAATGATGTAATAGCTATTTTGAGATACGATACAAAAGATCCTGAGTATCCCACCACTTTTCCTTGGAGTTATTATAAGAATAGAAAATATGGTAAAACGAAATACTTTAAATTGGAAGACATGGATTCACTGGAATTGGAACCTTTAATTGAAGAAAATATTCCAGCATCTACTAATTTATATGAAATGACAATGATTATATCTCGATTCCATAATGTTACCAATAATGTTACGAATAACGTTACGAATGACGTTATGAATATGACTAATCAAAACATTAATGTATATAACCAAGATGGTTTAATTGATGGTGCTATATATTCATCAATTTGTTCAAAGATTAGAGGGACCTATGTTTATCAACCAAATAAAACTACATCGACTATTAAAGAAGTTTTAGAAGGGAGGTTAAAAAAGTTTGATCATTATTGGAACGCTTATGTATTTAAAAAGAATAATAATGTTATTGATTTTCTTTTAAAAAGTTGAGTATTTTTATTTTTATTTATTTATTTATTTTTCTTTTAATAATACTATTTAACTTTAAAATTATTCTTGCAGACAATCATACGATTGAACTCGTATTCCATCTGGTAAATATCAGATAAGCAATTTTTGATAAATATTTTTTTTTTTAAAAAAAGCATTTGCATTTATTATTAATTAAAAATGTTATTATACTAGCATGGTCATAGTTTTTGGGTTCTTGATAGAGGAAATGAATCCACTCCCTACAACAGTGAAAGATTATCAAATACGACTAGCCCTATAAACCGAGATACAGTGGCTGTGCCAGCCTTAGGGTAACCTTTTTTTTATATAAATTTTAGAGGTTGGACCCGTTGAGAAATCTCTACCCGGGTATTATTAAATTACCCGGGTTGGGTAAGTTATTATAATCGTATAGTAACAATTTTTACCCGGGTCCAATCCCTAATAAATTTCATTTGAAAAAAATGAATTACAAATTTGCTCGAATTAACAGTGAAAGTTTTTGTGTACGCACATACATAGGTGGACACTAATTAGAACTAGAATTAATAATCCTGGAATTTGGTCTTTTGAAAATCCAATAATGGTAACAATCATATCATACGTTTATAAATATAATTTTTTGAATAATGTTTTGTAATGTTCTTGTTTGATTATAACAATAATAACAGTGGCACTTGAGAACAGGAATGATGGGTCAAATTGTTGAATTACCATCAAATCTCAAACAATTAATTCCGCCTACGGAATGGTGTAATTTGTGTCAAGGTTATAAATTAGATATTTGTGATAACGAAATATTTTAGGGTAATTTTTACACGAGAAATTATAAGACATACCGAATATATGTATTATAATTTTGTAGAACTGAATGGAGTTATGTAACATATTTACTTTTTACGATGAAGTGCTATTAAAATTTTTCAATGAAAATTCCTATAACAATGTTTTTTTTCTTTTATTTAAAATTTTTGGAGATAACTGTTGTGCATTTAAAACAATTATGTACTAAGTAATAGGTGTGCATTAAAATTGTTCGCAGTATATTCTCGTATTTAAAAAATATATATATAGTAGCATAGCGGGCTTTCATTGTAATTGGCTGATTTTTGTAAATCATCCCGTGATATTGCAAAAATATCATTGGTTAATCGAAATGGTTAATCGAAATTATTCACAAACAAATTTATAT